AAGTGTCAGTCTCAGAAAAGACCCTGTGCCCGGATATATTTGGTCCTTGTAGAGCTCCTATCCTTTCCATATCATACTAACTTCCCTTCTTTCATATGATTCCCTGCACTCTGCCGAGGGTTTGTGGTGGGATCTAGAAAAGATCATTCTGAGTGAAGTATCCCAGAAGGAGAAAGACAAACTTGGTATATACTCGCTTATATAGACCTACAAGATGTGATAAACATAATGAAATCTACACACCTAAAGAAGATAATCAAGAAAGTGGACACAGGCGAAGGTGATTAATCCTCATTTAGAAAGACAAATGGGATGTGCATTGAACTTATGACAGGAGTCTACCACAAAAGGCATCTGAAAGACTCTACCTAGCAGTGTTTCAAAGCAGACACTAAGACTCATAACCAAACCCTCGGCAGAGTGCTGTGTAACTTATTACCAGGGAAATTATTTAAACAATATAACAAAAAATTATTTTTTAGATAAATTAAGGAAAATACCTTAGTTATTCAATTTTTGAATAAGTAAATACATACTTAACATTTTAAAAGTAGAATTCTTGGCCCATGAGATAGTGCTGTGAATAAAAGCACTTTGAGTTTGATCCACAAAACTCACTTTTGTGTTAGAGATCCAAGTTATACAAGTTGTCCTGTGATTTCCTTAGGTTTTCCATGGAACACATGAACACATACACAACCTCTCTTTCTCCCCCCCTTTCTTTTTCCCTCTCTCGATCTCTGTATCATAAACACACACATTCACTCACACACACACAGATACATTCACACAGAGACATACACTGACACCACATACAATCAATAAAATGGAAAACAAAACAAAAAAAATTGCAAGACTTTCTTCCAGGTATGACAGGAATGCTAAACTTTTGATATCTCAACAGTATGGCTACTTATAAAAGACCTGAATAATGACAAGAGCAGTTGACATGAAAATAATTGTGAGGAAATTGCCTGGGGCCCACCTCTACATGGAGAGCAATTAAAATCCACCAAGAGAGGGAAAATTAGTCTTCTGCATAGATGAGTCCTCTCAGTAGTTAAATGATCCCAATTGGTCAACCCTAAAAAAAAGATGTAAGCAACACCAAACAGACCCAGCAAACTGACCATTCTATATTTGTTCACACACACACAGAAAGAGAGAGAGAGGGAGTGTGTGTATGTATGTGTGCGTCTGTGAGAGAGAGAGAGAATGTTTATGTAGCAATTATAGTTATGGACACCCTATATTTGAATGAAAGTACAGCTGACATGGGTGTGGTTTAGAAGAGGAGAGGAGAGGAGGAAGTGATATAACCAATGTGATTACATTTTAGTTAAATAAAAATCATATATATATATATATATACATACATATATATATATACACACACACACACATGGTTTTTGAGTAAGAGAATAATCTCAATAAAGTTAATTGAAAAAGTATTAAAACATTTAATTGTATGTGTTGCAATCAAATTAAAATAATTTAATGATTCCTCTCTATGCTATTTTGTGTACAGGCAACATGGAAAATGATGGCAACGCTCAAACTTTGTCACTCATCTTCACACCTTTGCTAATTCACTTAGATAGAATTCAGTTTGGATCATTTAGTATAAAAAACAGCTTCTCACTGATCTAGCACAAATTTTTATTGAGATAAAGAAATATTTTTTAAAATATTAGCAAAACCATTTATTTAGAGATTTTAAGAAGGCATCTATAGCATTTTTGGAATGTGTAGTATTAAATCACATTTTAATTGTTTTCTTCAGCATACCAGCAAAAATACTGGTAATTCTTATACATTAGTGGAATATGTGTTTGATTTCACAATTTTGTTATAATAAACCTGATACTACAGACAAGGCAGGGAACAAGCCATCATACAGTCAAACATGGCAGCTGGGAGTTCTGTATCCTGATCTGCAGGCAGCAAGAACAAAGAAACACTGAAACTGGCTTGGGCTTTTTAAATCTCAAAGCCACACACCCAATTCTCCCTATATAGTTCACTAAGTAAGTACCAAATATTCAAATATATGAGGTGCTAGATACCATTCTCATTCAACCACTACAGTTCTCCATGTCTTATCATAGGTTTATCCAATGGAGGGACAATCAAAATCATACTATAACATGGTTGCTCTTGATAAGAAATGTCTTCTTAGAAAAAAAACATTTCTTAAGACCTTCATTAATTTCTTCTGAATGCAACAACTGAATGACCAAACCACATACCTCTAGGTCCCAATTCTTTAAGGTCCTGCATCCTTAACATCAGCACATTGAAAGACATTTTTGTCACACCTAATATCCAAAACAGCAGTAAACATATCAATATGTAGAAACATTCCCCAAAATTGACATTTTTTTTAATTTGTTTTTATCAGAATTGTTATAGTTACCTGGAAAATAGACTTTTTATTCTGACTGGTTAGTTGTTGATTGCTAAATTAAAGGAAAATATTTTGGAGACTTGCAAAAAATAAAAGAATATCATCTTTTGCGTTTAATGATAGGAGCTGGGTATTTTTTTAAGATTAATTTTTTTTTTATGTTATGTGTCTGGGTGATCTGGTTGTACCTCATGTTTCTGCAGTGCTTAGGAGAGCCAGGAAAGGGCGTCAGATCCCACGGAAGTGGGATTAGAGAAAGTTGTGGCCTGTTATGTAGGTACTGGAAACAGAACACAGGTTTTCTAGAAGAGTAGCTGGTGTTCTTACACACGAGCACCTCATCTCGTAGAAGGTAATTTATCTGAAAATCCAGTATATACCATCAAGAATCCTGAAATAAGAAGGATAGAAAAAACTTTAAAAGTCCCTTCTTTAAAAACCACCTAGTCTCATACATCTGTCATGTTTGTAACGTATGCTTTCAGCGCTTGCCATAGTGACATATATTCATAATTCCAGTGGCAGAAAGGCAGAGGCAAGAAGACTGTGAGTTGTATGCCAACTTTTTCTTGCTTTATTTGCTGCAAAGGCCAAGGAGCAGTGAGAGGAGAATTGCATCCTGACTGTGACTGCTCTAAACACTTGTTGCCAGGGGAAGTTAGATTCCTGATGTAGTAATTGCTGGACTGTAGAATAGTAGCTGAAACCCTTTCTGTTCAGAAAAGAAGGAATTTATCAAAGGAAAGAAAAAAAAAAAGTTACCTCATCGGAAACTGAAACAGCAGCAGTCTCTGGCTTCAGACAAGAAAACTGTAAGCCTTAAGGAAAGCATTTTCATGAAAAACATTGACTATGTGAGTAGTATTTTTTTTTTTTTTTTAATAGAGATTTCAGGTAGAGGAAAAAAAAAATCAGGACATTATGCAGTGGCCTTAAATGCATTTCTCGCCTCCATCATGTCCACAATCACAGCCAGCAGCACTAGCAGCCCCTCAGGCCATACTCCTATCCTCTGGGCAATGATGATGGGTCACCTTGATATCAAAGATTACCTCCAAAGCAGATTGTGAGAGATGGGGCTCATAGTGTGGCAGCTATCTCTTTTACTTTTTTTCTCAGAGTACTGTGTGCATCTTATGTTTAAGCTACTTCTTTATTTTGATAAGGTCACTTCCCCCCATCAGTGAATATAATCCATAGCCCACTTTCTCATCACCGCTCTTACTTAGCTAAGGAAACTCAACAACTGAAATTCAACCTGACTAAGGTTGTTGCTGCCAACAACACAGTTATCAGCACATATTGGGTATGTTGCTGGAAATCCAAGGAATTAGGTCTCACCAGAACTATGGGATATAGATACTGTTATGAATCGTAATATAGAAAGGAGAATGCTCAGGTTTGAATCAGTGGCCAAGGCAATCAAATCCAACCTTGCATCCCAAGGTCTATGGTCAAAACAACCTGAAATGTTTTTTTGTTTGTTTGTTTGTTTGTTTTCCCCCTCTTAGAAAAAACTATTGTAATCATGCCCATATATACTTCTATTTAACTTAACGAGTATTGTAAAATCCATTTATACAAGTATTTGTCTTAAAAAATAAAAGCGCTGCATGAAACATCGCTATTTCTTTGTCCTTTTTCCTTGCTATGATTTGTCGCTAATATGATCTGCTTCTCTTTGTTAAAGGACCAATTGATAGTGCTTATGCATTTATTTCAGCCAATTTTAGAAAATATGTGTTGGAAATGATGGCACTCTCTTTATAAAGTGGCTTTAAGGTGATATTAATTGATAGATTCTTATTTGCCCCCGTTCTGTATTTTATTGTAAATTAAAACATTCCTTCAATAGATGTAGTTAGTAGATACTGCCTCCCTTTATGGTACAATTTAACAATATGTAATGCTCTCGCAATCCACAGAGCATAAAAATAGCTTTCTTTTGTTATCACTTGAGAGTTTTCTAATTTATTCTTCTTATTAAATCTTCTAGAAAAAGTAAAAGAGTGAAATTTGTGACTTACCCTGTATTAAAGACAACCTCACGTTCTTTCTATGGTAGAATAGCGAATTAACACATACTTTGAAATGAAGTGCATACTCTTAAGAAAGAACATTATGCAAATATTTATAAACAATATTAACAATTAGGTGAAGTTAATGAGGACTGCAAACAAGGTTGAATAAATTCATGTTGTTGCTAATATAAGGGGTGTGTAAATACGGATTTTCTTGTCTACTTTCACTTCATGAATATGCCTTTAACTTCCATCTAAAATATATTGTCAAAGGTTATTTAAATAAAAACGTGTATTAAACCAATACGTTTCCCACTGAGATGCCTCTCGAGAACTCTAAGAACACTGTTAAATAATCCGCTGTGTTTATGCATATGGAACCATTAACAATGAGATAGTCGCCACAGGGCGGACTTTGGAGGGTGCAACCGACAAGCTTAGAGAGGCAGCATGCCTACCTGCGCTCGGCTCTCGCGAGACTTGCTGTTAGGGACGTTGCAGCGGAGCTCGTGGGAAGCTCTAGCTGTAGGCCTGACTGACTGCTGACGGGCTGCTGGCACGCTTTTCTTGCAATGACGCCCATCAAGTTGCTGGTGCAGCCTACTCAGAGACCCGAAGGAAGAACGTACGTGGAATACGCATCCGTGGATGAATGCATGGTAGGCATCTGTAAGATGTACGAAGAACACCTGAAGAGGATGAACCCGCTTAGCCAGTCCATCACTTACGGCGTCAGTCAGCTCTTCGAGTTTATCGACCGTATGGTAGACCTCAGCTGCCTGGTGTTCCGCGAAGATACCCAGACCTACAAGCCTCACAACCGAGAGTGGATCAAAGAGAGGATCTACATGCTACTCAGTCAGCAGGCACAACCAGCCGGGTCATAGGGTCATAGTGATCTGGAAGCATCCGGACCTGGGGCCGTCCGTCTTGGACCTCAGGTACGTGGTGCAGCAGTAGCTGCTCTCACTGATAAGCCCCTGTTTCTCCATTTTATGTATTAGGTGAAATGTGGGCCTCTTTACTCTGAAAACTCCATTGCCCCCTTTATTGATTTTCTTTCTTTTTAACATGTTTATGATGATATAGATGGAAATGCTTCATATCTGCAGTATAGCATTCACTGTGCTAACTGCTTAAGGTAGCAAGAGGGTAGTGCCATTGATATATGGTGGCCCCCAGATAATTCAGTGAAAATAAAGTGCTTCAGCTAAAGTTTAAAAGGTGGTGGAGGGTACATTCAGGGAGCAGGAAGGAGGCCTTCAGCTGACAGATTTTAGAAGGCTCTATTCGTGGACTCTTGTCGGCTCTGTGACCCACACTCACCCCGTAGGTCTCTGTTCTCAAATATCACTAGCAGCTGTGAGCCTGAGAGAGGGAGAATTCATATTCAGACCGCAAAATACAATTTGCACTTTTATTTTACCTTGATTCTATTTTAGTAAGTATAAATTAAATCTAATAAATACATTTTCGTGTTCTTACCTAAGTAAAGATAAAATGTGGCCAACAGACATCCGTAAGTTTAATTATCATTATTACTTCTGGGCATGAACATAACCCTGCATTCCCTTTATTCCACACACCCTGAGATCAGAAAGAATGTGTTGCACTTCTCAATTTGTGGCATTTTTTAATTGACTGATTAACATTTGCCTTTTTTGAATCATAAACAAGATTTTATAATAACCTTATGATTAGTGAATGACTTCTCTCTTCTGTATCGAAGTGGGCATGCAAAAGAATGTGGATGTTAAGCACATTAGAACATGACCTCTCCAGTACTAATTAAATTAAATTAAATTAGCTAACATTTTGGAACAAATAGAGAATTCTAGGATGATTGATCATCTGTGATAGCTGCAGCAACTGAGACAAGCTGTTCTTGCTTTCAGCCCCCATTTTGCAGACAGAGAAGTAAATCTCACAACATAGGTGAATTGTCCAAATCATATCTCTAATAACTTGAATGAAGACAAATTGTGCATATTTTATGTCTATTTCTCATCATTATTTTACTGTATTCATCTATTATGTATAAATGTTTTATAATTTGGAAGATTGTTCTTTTTCTTTTTGTTAATAATTGTGTCATCAGGATAACCTGGATACGGTTCTTGATGCTGAGATATGTCAGTACATAAATTATGCTGCAGAATGCTGAAAGGAGGCATTTAGTGACTTCCGTTGGTTTCTGTGCATCATTTGATTTGTTTCCACTGATGTAATTCTAACATTACTTAGCATATAAATACACATGTCACCTTTATTTGTCAATTTCAACTAATATTTTGATTTCCTTTTAATTTGTGTTTGTGCCTATGCATACATACATGCATCCTCTGGTAGGCTTGTGGAGAAGAGAGAATATTTTCCGCAGACAGTTCTTCCAACCACTTTATAGACTCCAGGGGCTTAACATGGGTCTCCAGGCTTAGTAGCAAGTGTATTAATTAGCTAAACTATCTCCTTGCCTACAAATTAAGATGTTTCAGGATCTGATATAGCCCAGCTTGCCTCAGAGTTGCTTTGTATCTGGTAATGACCTTGAACTTCAGTTCTCTTATCAATACCTGCCATGTGCGGAGATTATAGGTGTGCACTCAGTTTTGGGTTGTGTAATACTGATGATTAAACACATGGCTTTGTTCATGCTCATCAAACACTCTGCTAAATAAGCTACATAGCCATCCCTTTAACTTATGCAAATAATACCCTTTAAAGGAAGAATGATATTTAAAATCCAGTACTTCTTACGATATTTTTCATGTGTTATATACAAGATTGTGTTTTGCTAAGGGTAAGTGAGCAGGAAGCACTGAGTAGGACTTATAACTAAGTGTAGCACTAGGACAGCTGGCAGGTGAATGTCTGCTAGGTAACACTTTATCAGTATCTCTCCACATTCAAATTCCATATAAGTAAAATGAAACAATGCAACTCCAGTGGCCTGCTCCCAGAACCAGCTGAACAGACTGTAATGACTAAGAATTAAAATAGGGCAGAACTTAGGAAGGCAGAGGTAGGAAGCTCTCTGTAAGTTTGAGGCTAGCATGGTCTACAAAGTGAGTCCAGTACAGCCAAGGCTACACAAAGAAATCCTGTGTCGAAAAAACAAGCAAACAAACAACAACAAAAAAAGAGGAAGCACAGTGAACAAAGTGCTTGATGTCAGTATCTGGAACTCTTGTAAAAAGCCAGCCATATAGGTATATTCATAAAACTACAGGAGTCTCCTTGGAGCTCACTAGCCAACCAGTCTTGCCAGTTTAGCAAGCTGCAGGCCAAGGAAAGATTATATCAAATCCATTGTGGGTAGGGCCTGAAGAGCAGCACCATGAACATGTACACTCATACACAACTGTGTCTGAATACATATGCAAATGCACTCACACATACACTCACACATACAAGGTTCAATGATACAACGTAAAAAGCTGCAGGTGCCTAGCTACCTCTATCATTTGCATATGTAACAGCACCTAGTTTAGAATAGCAGGATTATATAAACAAGTAGTGCTTTATCCAAAAAATAAAATAATTTAGAAAATCTTAACTCTCATGGGAAATATGAAATATAATGTAGAAACACTTGTAAAATTATCTTATTTTTGATAATATATATTTTATTATATATATAGTTTGAAATAATTTCCTAATACTATATATATAATTATATCTTTTGTTTTATTGACCCACAGGGAACGTTTCTGATCAAAGCAGCAAGAGTAAGCTGTGGAAATGAGCTACACCTAATCTGTGAATAATTTCTCTTCACCTGAGCTTTGAGAATATGTCTCCTTGAAATTCATATTGTCACCTGCCAATAAAATTTTGAACAAATCATAATAAAAGAATCACGTTAAATTGCTTTTAAATTTTAGATATATCTATATCATCTATATCAGTTGCATATTAGAAGAATTTTTATATCATATCTTTTTCTTCTAACACCCATTCTTTCTATTTATGTCAACAATCATTTTATTTAGTCTTTGTCTATAATTTTTCTGCAAAGAATGATGTAAGTTTAAGAGACAGTAGATTCAAGCAATTTGAACGATATCCTCTTTCTTTGAGTTTTATGGGAGACCTTCAATGATTGTGTGTGTTAGGTACATCTCCAGAGGTAGATATGCAGACAGACAGAATAAAGGAAAAAAAAATTATTCCAATGAAACCCAAGGCTTCAACTGATATAAGGGACAATTGTGGTGTGGTTGACTCTTCTGATTGCCTGTTTGCTTCCATTTTGCTGGGTCCAAAGCTGCCCTTCTGCTGTTGGTCTGTCTAGGGTTACAGGTTTCAGACTTTGGGTATTGAGAAGTATGAGAGTCCATTCGTGTAGTTACAGCTCCGTGTCGGCTGATTAGAACCTTCCCTACGTCATTAGGTCCTAGCTGCCTGGAACTCCTCCCGTGACTGGACCACAAGTCTTTGATCTTCACAGACTTGGATTGTCTGCTTCTGCTTATAGCCTCGGCTTCCTGACTTGCATGCTCTTCAAAAATTTAGAGTACCTTCCTACCACCACTGGAGCTGCAAGGGCTGTTGTCAACACTCTTTATTGTTGTTGTTGTTGTTATTATTATTATTATTATTATTATTATTATTATTATTATTATTATTGCAACCAGGTTAGTTCATTGTTCCAATAAAGATAGGGTGTGTCATGACTGTGACCTACTATTGCAATAAAAGAACTTTTTTTTTTTTTTTTTTTTTAAATCACAGCTTGGCTTCCAGTTCTGCCAAAATTCCTTAAGAGTTAGCATAAAAGACCAGTGTAGCAGAACCTGCCAGAGTGATGAATAGGATTCCAAGTTAATACAGTACATGATCTTCATACTAAATGACCCAGCAGCAGTTCATACATGCTAAGTATGTACTTTGCCACTGACCCACACTTCTACACAAGAGATTGGTAATTTAAATGGAAATATTTCATTAAAGCAATTAAA